GTAAAAAGGGAAGGGTTACTTCAGGTCACAGACATTAGCAATGGATTGTGGTGTCCAATACCCAGCCAATCCCGTTATGTTTTCTTAGTCACGTGATGTGACGCTTGTGGCGCTCATACTGAAGGAAAACCAGCATCACGGAGCCGGTCATGCAAGCTAACGCTAACTTAACTACAGAAAAATGAAAGTAATAAACTCACCGTTGAGTTAGCGTGAGCTTGCATGACCGGCTCTGTCATATTTTAACACTGAAACAGTAAGTACAAACACACAACATCTAAATTTCAGCAGCATTTTTAATTCAAATCCCAGCGACACAGATTTACTTCCATACCTGTACATTCAGTCGTGTCTAGGAAGACTGTGTGATTAAAAATCAAATATAGAGCATGTAGATTGGGACCAATGACAGACCAATTGGGTGGCCTTCGGCGGTCGATCACTATCATTCTTTATTCCTGTACTTGATGATAGTTCCCAGTGTGGTTGGAACTGACCCACAGTATTACTGGTTCTCCAATATGCTGAACAGCTATCAGTACTCTTCCTATATACTCATGCTGGGAAGAGTTGGTTGTATTGAGGATCAATCCAAGTCTTATCTGACTAAACTGCAGACTTTAAGATAAGGTTAAGACTGAAATATTCTTGTTCTGTAGCCTTTGGGGTTCCCAAGAAGCTAACCTTTGTTGATGTTCTCCAAAAGTACATTTTTGAACGTTCTTTATCATCCTACTTGTTGTGCTTGGAGAAATAAAAAAAATAAAACAACTTAATGGATAAAAATTGTGAGGAACTCAAGAGAGAGGCAAATACCGATCAGATACTGGAAACACGATATTTTGTATAATATTTAAAGGTTCCTGGACTAAAAAAAAAAAAAACAACTTTTCCAAATACCACCAAACAGTTTCACCCATTGAATAAATTTACTAAAATTTAAGGGTTTCATTTTTCTGAAGATTATGCTGCTGCCATTAGATTACTTTATTTCCAGTTCTGTTTTTACATATCTTTACCATGAGTAATACAAATATGGAGGGTTCTGTTTAACCACTAATTGAAACATATTTATACTTCATTTTATCTTTTTTTTTTAAGTTAATAAAGCAGAGACCTATTTAGGGAAGTATTAATCAGCTTATTCCCATTTAACCACAGATCACAATATTAACCACCGTGTGACAGAGTCAGGTGGATTTTGTGTGCATCTCATTTGATTGAACCACATGATCCTTCACCTTCTGTCTAAAAGGCTGCACACAAAAACCACAGGATATTGTTGTTGTTTTTTTCTCTCTTATTCTAATTCCTAATAAAATATGAGTAAATATTAACATGTTGTCCCAATGTCAAACTTTCTTTAATTAAAAAAGTTCTAAAAGACAAAAAAAATGGAGAACACATACAATAAAAAGATGTATGATAGATTTTGGCCGTTTTTTCGAAGCCAAACTCACAGCATAAGCCAGGTCACTGATCTTTGCATCGACGCCACAGACCCTCTTCAAGTTGGCATCATGTGAGACCACGACCTGCTCATCCTTTGTCAGGTGGCAGTCCAGCTCCAGCATGTCTGTGCCAATATCCACAGCACTGCATGAACCAACACACAGAGCACACAGGGACTTCATAAATAAACCCTCTCAGATCAAGGTCTTAACAATGATACTAGAGGCACTTAAATCTGTAAACTTCAAAGAAATAAGTTCAATATGGATTTAAAAGATCATTTAACTCACTGTTTGAAAGCTGTCATGGTGTTCTCCAGGTTTTCTGCTGCACCTACAAGATAATATTTAAAACATCACATATGCTGCAGTACTTCCTATTTTTTATCTCATTAACACAAAGGTTTATAAACGGCTGGTACTTGGGGGTAACATATGCATGTAAGTCTGAAAATGTACCACAGAGAAAATGTTGATATATTTTAAGAAGTTTTTTTTTTTTATAGATAGTAAGAAAGGCATTTCTCAATAAGCTTGAAAAGTTCAGTCTGGACAACTGGACGTGAAGTTTTAGAGAAGACATTTCGTGTCTCACCCAAGAGGCTTCTGCATTTCCAATTAGAGATTAATATACTGACCTATATGCAATGATATATATAATATTAGGGATGCACGATTTTGGGATTTTGGCCGATATCCGATATGCCGATATATTAAAACTCATGTAG